TTAAAGATTTAAAACCGTAATTATTTAAATAATTGTAGGCTTAAATGCTTCTCCTTCCTTCCTGGCTCTGTCCTCACCTGCTGAGCGAGCCTCTCTGTGCGTGGACACTGTGGGGGGACACGGGTGATGGGGAGGGACCAGCCTCACCTGGAGCTGGGACCCAGCGCGGGCAGTGCCCATGGGGCAGAGGGGGCGGAGCCGGAGACGAGGCCTGGCTGCAGGCCCTCTCCTGTGCGAACGCCCTCCTCCCGGCACCGGCCTACGGAACACTGTTGCAGATGCACAGCTGTTGGCACCTGGCTGTGCTTTGCTGTCACTTGCTGTGCTTCTCTACTGTGTCCACCCAAAGAAAGGAGCAGCAGAGACAGCATACAAGCTGCTGTTTCAGGCTCAGGTCAGAGGGAGGCTGTGTCTGAACAGGTGACGTTTGCAATCACGGACGCATCTCATCCCTCTCAGCTGCCCTCTCCACGTGGGAGCGCGGGCTTGGCGCTGCGAGGGACTCACCTGTGACGTGTGGAGGGCCGGGCTCTCGCCTCGGTCTCCTTCTGACTTTCCTCAGTCTCCCCTGGTGAAGAGCTATCCCTCCTCAGGTGGGTTGCGCCCAAGGTTTGGGGGGGCTCTTGTGCTGCCAGTATTAACAGTGAGTGGGCGTGGGCTCTCAGGGGCTCTCACTGATTTGTCAGCCTCACTTTCTGTGAGATGACAGAGTTGCAGGTACCCTGGGGACATCAGATTGTAACACCCTTACAGAATTGTCTACAGTGGTTCTCAACCTGTGGGTCGCGACCCCTTTGGCGGGCGAACGACCCTTTCACAGGGGTCACCTACGACCATCCTGCATATCAGATATTTACATGATGATGCATCACAGTAGCAACATTACAGTTATGAAGTAGCAACGAAAATAATGTTATGGTTGGGTCACAACATGAGGAACTGTATTTAAAGGGCCAGAAGGTTGAGAACCACTGGTCTAGAAGAATGCATGCCAAGCCTGACTGAGGGGGGTATCTCTAAATGTCAGGACCACAGATGGTTTTTCTTAGTTTTGTCTATTTAAATATTTCTTACTTTCTAAAAGGATTTAACTTTTCTATTGAGTTGAAGGGCCATGGCAGATCCTCTCTGAGCGGGAACCATATTCAACAGACCACAAAGGTGATGTGTCCTCTGCCTGGTGACTGCGTCCAGGTGATCTGTCCCAGAGGACAAGGTAACAAAGGCAAGACTGGGAATGTGTGTGAGTTGTGTGTGTGAGTGTGCAAGTGTATATGAGTGTGTGAGTGTGTATATGAGTGTGTGCGAGTGTGTGTGTGCAAGTATGTGTGTGTGCGAGTGCATGTGTGAGTGTGCGCGAGTGTGTGCGAGTGTATATGAGTGTGTGTGAGTGTGTGAGTGTATATGAGTGTGTGAGTGTGTGCGAGTGTGAGGGCTCTCTCTCTCTCACAGTGAGGCGGCCACCCTCCCTGGCTCCAAGGCAGGGCCCGGCTCCGGCCGTGTGGACACACTGACTCGGCCTCAGGCGAGCTGGGCATTAAGCAGCAGGACCTGCCGCTGTGGGCACGGTGCTCACGGGCAGACACGCAAGCTGATGTGGGGTGAGCGGAGTGTGGGTTCCTCCCTCTCTCCTCTTTTCTAAACTTGATACACGGCGGGCTAAGCCTGAGGACTTCCCCGGCTTATCCTCTAACGAGGTTTGGGGCAGGTCAGCCCACCCTCTCTGCACGGGGTGTCTGAGGTCAGGGGAGGGCAGCTCCGGCTCCCAGGCAAGCCGCCTCCAGGCTGGCCAGGGGGCTCCGTCATTGATGTGCGGGAAGGAAGCACTACCGCCACCTGCAGGTGGTGCCTGGCCTCTCAGCCTCTAGGACCATCCTCTTGGGCAGCATCAGCTGGGAAAGCCCCACCAGCCTCAGCCAGGAGCAACCGGAGGAAACCAGAATCCAGCTCCTCCCGCAGCCCAGGAGCGGAGTCACCTCCTGCCCCCCAGGCCCGCAGGGGTGGGAGTGGCTGGGTCTCGCTCCCAGCACAGCGCTCGTTAGCTTCCCACCTGCCCCTGAGCCTGGCATCGCCCCCTACACAGCCCGAGCTGGCGGGAGGGCTGCCTGCACGGACCCGCGGCACCGCACACTCTGCCAGGGGGCCTCAAACTACGGCCCGCGGGCCACATGCGGCCGCCGAAAACATTTATCCGGTCCACCGGGTGTTTTTGCCGCCGCTGCCTGTCCTGCTTAGCAGCCGACTGGTCCCGGGCCCGCAGTGCGCATGTGTGGAATGTCTGAGGGACAGTGAACCGGCCCCCCGTTTAAAAAGCTTGAGGACCTCTGGTCTGAGCTGTACCTGAGCACCCGGTCTGAGGCCGGGCTGGACTTGGACACGTCGCAGCTCTGGTGCTTTTCCTGGGCCTTTGCCAGCTTCTCCGCTGCAGCAATAGGGCATCCAGAGAGGCTGCAAGCACAGAAAGGGGTCAGTTGTCTCCCCAAGGGCTCCACACACCACCCCCGACTGAGCCACCGCCCCCTCCCTGATCAGCAAACCACATCCTCGTGGGAGCGGGGGTGATTTCCCCACCTGTCTGCTCTCCTGACGGTGGGAACGCGAGCGTGGGTATTCCCTCCCCACAGCAGACAGGGCTGCCTGCTGGCGTGCCCCGTGTGAAGTGCACCTGACGCTTTCTCACACCAGCCAGCCAGGCCCAAGACATTCAAGAGTGTAAGCCCGTCGGTGTCAGGCCCAGCTCCCTTCGGGGACGGTCCCCGGGTCTGAAGGAGGGACTGGCCGCGGGGCAGGCTGTGTCTAGTGGCCCAGGCAGGGCAGCTCTCTGGCTGGCACCAGAGACGGAGGTCTGGGCCGACCCCCGAGCACCGCTGACCACAGGGCATGGCTGGTGCCCCTGAAGAGGGACGGGGGGACAGCAGGACAGTCCGAGGCCCGCTCGCTGGAAGAGGCTCTGGAGCTGGATGCTCAGGTCCTTCCTGAGACCATGGTGTCTGCTGCCTGTGTGACTGCACAGTCCACGAACCACAGGCACCGTGGACCTCCTGCCCTGCACGTGGGGCTGTGTGAGATCTGACGGAGGAGCTGCTCTGTAAATGCAGCTTCGAGTCACGCTCAGCACGCCCTTCCTCCCATTGCTGCCTCCTTTGCAGCACACGCCCAGGACACACTCCAAGGGCTGGGGGTGGCGGGGTTGTGATCTGATTCATTATAAGTTTAACACAAGTGACCACACTGGCCAGTGGGAAGAGCCAGCATTAGAGGGACGCTCCCAGCATTTAGGCTAACAGGTGTGTTAGGCGTGTGGTGCGGGACCAGGCTGCAGGGCACCCTGGGACAGAAC